ATAAGAAGCCGCAAAGAGGACTCGTGAGTAAACTTTGCAATGAGATTACCTATACAATATATAGGTGTATGGAAAAAGTTTGAAGCGAAATGGAAAAAGCTATTCTGTCGACGGCAATTCTCTGTTTATTTAGCCGTAAGCTGCAGAACAAATCGCGAACTGGAGAAATATAATGCCCGACGGAAGGTTTCCTATGCACATTTTTACGAAAACAACAAAGCATAATACATACAACTATTTTATGATTTTTATTGTAAGGACTTCTATAATATGAATTTCCATATTATTCACTTAATCATAGATACACCTACCAACGACTCTATTAATTCAATTAATCAAAACATAAATTATAGAAAACCAAGTTTAGTAAATAGATATATTGTAAAAATCTACAAAAAATAGGCAATAATTGCGAAAAAAGTACGAAAGTTCACAAACTAAAAGACCGCACCTTCGTTTCAGAGACAGAGGGGAGAACGGGCCAACATGACAATGACGGTGGAGCAAAGATAAATTTCTATCACGCCCGGGATTAGTGGCTATTGTGTAACAGTGTAAGATTAACTGATAAGTGTCTACTTGTTAATAATAAGAGTAATGTTTAGATAAAACACACCCCTACCAAGATGTTGTCAATATTTATGAAGATGTTATTTTTTTATTCAAGTGATCGGTGAACTCTGCCAATTAAACAGAGAACTTAGGGGAAAGAAAAGCAATGAATAAGTTTCATTTATTAAATAAATAAAAAAAAAATTGAATTTAATGATTAATTTTTAATAGTACTTACTAGTAAAACTAAGTAACAACTTGATAGTTGAAGTTTTAAATGTAAATCGTTATTTTTTTTCTAACAATATTGTTGAAATATCAATTCGATCCCAATCGATAGACGATAGGCCGGTGTCAGATGGCCCAGGTGTCAATTTGACAGCTTCTGTCTGTCATAAATGCCGCATTGATCCGCCATTGTGACATAATACTATGCAGTACAAAGGTACAGATAGTTCCGTTTTACTAAATTAAAAGATGGCAATTATTTGTCTAGAAAAACAAAGTGAAACATGTAAGTATGCTTAGGTAAACTAAAATGATTACCAATTATCGAAAAAATTTACTGTGGAATTTCAATTGCCAAAACTTACATTTAAATTTCCTTATTAGACACAAACAATGTTTATTCAGCAATAACGTTACATGGCATCTGTATGATTATAAGCCGAATCATCCAAACGTATAAATATCATCCATAGGGCCAATAAACATAATAACAATAACATTTTTTTATTGTTACAATCACAATATGTGGGGTATGACAGCCGCCTACCGTAATGAAGATGTAATAGGGCCGCGTGTATCACTAATCCTTTGCCGAAGGGGGTGGGCAGAAATGAAAGGATGTCACACGAATATGACAGATATTTTGACATTAATGCAACGGTTTTGACGCTACTGATGTACTGGCTTAAAACTAACACTTTTTAATTCATAGCTGCAGAGGATTATAAATTAAATAACTGGATTTTTTTTCAATTAATAAAATATGGTTCATTGTCGTCCATTCCAATTTATGTGTCAATTGAACGTATTTGTAGTGCAAGCGTGGTAATTGTTTACCGCATTTATTATCCTCGAAAATGAATATCGAAATTGTGTTACCAAAAAACCATAGATGTTCCCATTAAATAAACATTATTACCATATTATTCGAGCACCAACGCTTCCCGTCGAAAACCAACAGAATGCAATAAATCATTCATGACCGACCATTGTTAAACTCAAACCGAATATTATCGATACAAATTTTTAATTCACTCGCGAATCAAATATTCATTTTACAATAATAATTAGTGGATGCCAATTTCACATCATACATATTTGCTTATTGTCCCCTCTTGTATATCAAAATTAATGAATAAATCTATAATATTTATAATTTGATTGACATTTGGTATCAGAAGATTCTTTTGTCACAAACAAGTTTCTGTCTCATCTAAAATTCATCCATGGAATTATTATTGAACTAAAATTTACTAAATCAACTATCATCATAATTTGCATGTGACCCACAATGAGGGTTAAGATAGTTACTGGCAGAAAATAAATAATAATTGATACCACCTCTTCAAAACAAGAAATATATTTGCGCAGACAACTTTTTTAAGATCTGTGAGAAAAATATTTAAAATCTACTTCGAGTGGCATTCGCATAAAGAAGGTTTTATTAGCGCATCAAAAAGGAGATACGTTTCAAGAGATTTGGTGACATTTTTATTGAAGAAAGAATTTAAAAAAAAACTCACCAATCAAGTTTTCAATTTTAAAGTTTGAATAAGTTTTATAAAAATCTACCGTTAACGGGGATTTTGGTTAAAAAAGTGTGAATTTGGGTAAAAAAATTGTTGACGGGGGTCACGCCATAACCGAAATTAGGGTATATTTGCCACCTTTGACACGAGATGCTCAATAAAGAATTCCACGATTACCCCGATGTTTTTTACAAAGATTTTTATTTAGATATCGACGTTTGGGAAACGGTGGTTAGATAATATAACCATCACTGATTTAACAATGAATTTAACCCCTTTAAGTTTACGTAGACATGTGAAATCGCGATTTCAATCGTTTTAAAGTAAAATAAATGCGGGTCGATTTATCTCCAAGTAACGGTATTTGAAAATAAGACTTTAACTGAACGAAATAATATAAATTTTACATACAGAAATTACTGAAACAAGTTATTAACATGCTTCTGTCAATTACTTCTAAGGCATTAAGTTTTCTAACGTATTGGGAATCGTTACTTAATTAAAATTAACAAAAAAAAATGTTCTCATTATTTATTGCGTCACATCTCTAATCTGACCCACACTGCTATCCATCTCTTCACATCTCACCGATGACTAAATCTACCATAAAGTGCAAAGACAATCACACGCCTATTATATTCCACCAAACCCAGTCCAGTTGTCAAAGGGATCTTTTGTGGCAACCGATTCGGAAACATGGTCAGCGTTTGTTACAGCTCCCAACTCTAATGACGCGACAATTGGCACTTTTAACTGACGTCACGTACGAAAAGATCAAGCGTTTTATGGTTACTGAAGCAAAGGAATCAAATTGTAGAAGAATATAATAATGTTAGTGGTAAGGGAATAGAAATAGTTGCTTTGTCATATGTAATAAAGTTACTTCAAGTAAGGATACCATCCTTCATCCAAAAAACAATTTTGAATAGTATTGTGAACTGAAATGAAGAAGAAATACTCACCTGTATTTAAAATAACAGTTTCTAAAGTTGCATACTACTATCTGCCTAGAATTTAAATCTCAGACCACACAGAGCTTACAATAAAAAAATATTGCAATTATGAGGAAGTAGTGACTATTCCAAATAGTTCCATCGATCTACTTAAGTTGAAATAATGCATTTCCTTTAACATTTACAGCTAACAATTAAATAACAGTCAGAAATTCCGTTAAATAATAAAAAACAATATAAGATAATTCATTGAAATGTAATCGATTCCGCGAATCAGATATCATAATCGAGTGTCCTGCAACTCGATTGTCCTGACAAAGAAGACACTTAAACTTCATTGTATGGTATCTATCACAATAATGTTGTTTAAATGGTACTAACTACCGGAACCACATGTCCGTCGGACGACACAACAATACTGCGGTCTGAGTGCAACCTTACACCCACAGTCGCGCATGCGCGTTATCTGTCTCGCGCAGACATTCGATAGGCGTACGCGCATCGCAGCGCTATTATGTCCCATTCGCGTCCGGCCTTTTATGCTGAGGACAGGTCTTTAAGACATTTTTGCTATGACATTATTGTTTGATTTATAATACTGCTAATATTATTATTAAGTGAATTACCAGCGGTGTCTATAAATTTATTGTTTCTACGAATCTATCAAATTAAGTAATCATCGTTACAACCATCTTTAATAGAGATGTTAACAAAATCGAACTCTAATATAAAGTATATTTTATTAAAATATGAATTTGTTGATAATTTCCTACAATGCGATCACCACCATCAACACCTTCATTCTCCAGAAAGGAATAATTCGAAATAGTTTGCTTATAATAATTTGCCAAAGTTTTTGACTACCTAGTAAAGCAAAGTAACTCAATACTTTTACTTTGCGCGTAATCCAGGAATCGGATCCAACAATTGACTTCCGTTTCCTACCAGAGATAAACTTGAACCGCCACACCCCTCGCAAAAATCTCTGATGCGTTCAATTGAACAATGATCATTCATGGTACGTATGTGATATTTTAAAGATAAAATGAGCATCCGCGAAATAATTTTATAAATATCTCTATACCTTCAAAATGAATAATCTATTTTACTTATCGACTTCAGATTTAAAAGGTATGTACCAACACGAGAGAAAAAGTCCCGAAGTGACAAAAACAACGCAACCCTATTCCAAAGATGATTAAAATATTTGTTCGTCTGTCAAAAACTCAAACAAATTAAAAATAATGAAGTGTGTAGAGCATTAATGAAGTGCACTCAAAAGGATACGACAAGAACTCGAGGAGGATCAATAAAGTCGACACTTTATTGCATCCGTGCTTGACAGAGTCTCAATTTCTGAACATTATTTATGTACGGTACAATATTTTTGACACTTGCACATGACCCAAACACAAGTGGCCCATTGTAAATTAACTTAAACGAGGAAGAATGAGTGCTTTGTCATCACTGGTTTTATGATAACGTCCTGAGTGACATTTGTGCATACGAGAGCACAGGTGGACCATTTGTGGAATAGTTATGACTGGGTGACTAATGGCGTCTGGGTTGATGTTTATTTTGAGTTTTTTCATTAGCTACTTACTACGTATATGACGAATTACTCAATCTTAAGATTTAACTCGTCGAGTACCGTCATTATAGACACAATTATAGAACAATAGGTTGCAGTCACCGGTGACCGCTTGGTGTTTGACAGTTTAAAGTTAGTTGTACTTACCTCCCAAGCATATCGCCTGTCCTTCGGTTGATTCTCCAGCAGTCCAAAGAAAGGACCGTATTGAGTTCCATTGGCGATATTCACTCTTGCAAAGATCCCTCCGCTCTTAAATATCAGTTCACTTGGTAGATTTAAATCTCGTTCTCCGGGGTCATCATCTTTCGTTCCATCTTCTTTTTCTTTCGGACTTTTAGGATCTAAGAACCTTTGGTTCGGTAGATCTAGGGGTCTAGGCAGGTATCCCCGTCCATACTCGGGGAAGTTATTGGCTAGATATGTGTCGGAGAGCCCAAAATCTAGGGTTCCGTAGTATTCTTTGACATCAGTTCCTGGAGGCATGTTTTCTTGTTTTATGTGAACTAAGGTGGGCGCTGATTCTGATGTTGCAGAGTCAGTCGGGCTTGGCGGTGGACTGCCAGACTCTTGGCTGTCTGCTGCTGTGGACAAAATTGTTGAAATTAGACAGTATAAATTAACCACAGTAAGATTGCCGAAGACTTAATAGTAAGTGATAATCATTTCACCTTATCTTCCACTTATATTTTACTACCTAGCAACGCAATCGATTTTATATTCATCTAAATAAAAAACCCAGTTATTACAACATCAATTGTTATCTTTGAAATGCAGCGTTACGTACTCCTAAGTTCTCATTATTAAATTGATTACAGTTTTGAAAGACGACACGTTTATTAATAATTAATATCGATTTTCATTGTGTTTGATACTAACAGTTTTCTAATCTGCTCTAGACTATATCAGTCCTTTTAATTTATAGCTTTGGTATCAGCTATTGTCAACATGAAGGTTGTAAGAAATTAACTAAAACTTCTTTGAAATTGTATTGTACGATTCACTTTCATTAAAAATAGAGAAATTAGTAATTTGGCGTAGCTACTTATAAATAACGGTACTTTTTTGAAAATCGAGCCACGGGATATTTTTATTTTTTTAGATTCAATTCTTAGTTCAAATGTGTTCCAAGTTTAAACAAGGCTGCATGTCTGAGAGCAATAAACTCACTAGCTGTTTTATTTTATAGTTAAGCATCGAGTGAATTATAAAAAAGTGAAGACGTGCAAGATGTTGATCGCTTTATGTCTGTTTCCGCTGTTTACAAAGAACTTCCGCCTGTCTCCTGTCTTTGGTTCATCTCCGCTAAATGCAAATTCACAGACAGACATTTATGCCCTTCATTTTTTTAAATGAAACTCATTTTATGAACCTCCTTAGTAATTCAAATTAATTTTGTTTTAACAACCATTATGGTTAGGTAGCATGATGTCAATAATGTAGATAAAATTAATCAAAAAACCCGTAATAGTCATTCGTTTTCCTTTACTTACAGGTAATACCTATCATTTAATGAAGTTCGTGTTGCGTAATACTTAGATGATAATATAATAGGAAAAATAGTTTTTATATGATATTATCTACATCGAATAATAATATTCAATTCCTAACTTGACCTATATAAATACATATATTTGCAGAAAACGGTGATAACATTGTTAAACTTATTTTGTAAAAATCATAGAAATACCTAGTAGGTATTTAGCTATCAATGATAGGTTAAAACCCGACGGTCACTATAACCTGAATAAAAATTTTCAAACTGTTGAAATTAAGTACCGTTTACTGAAACCGTTTGCCGATAAAGACAACACAAAAGAAAAAACAAAATTTTATCCACACCACAACTTTCACATAACTATCATAAAAAACACACACAAACAAATTACACACTACAACCAATAACTGCATCAAATAGATCATCATCATCAATAACAGCTATAAAGAAAACACCCTGTGTTTACTGAAGATGACTAAATTCATAGTGCACGCGACCCCAACACTGTTCGAGACACCACATTAATCATACGTGCCCCATACCTCTAATATACTTGTTAAAACAACCCCTATCTTGTCCTTTAAAGCACGTGGCAATATAAAAAAGATAAAGAAGAAGATAACTTGCTTTACATGATAAAGGATTAAAACTATTAAAAGACAGGATGTTCATGGTTTGTGAATCTTTTGTGGGTTCAACCCTGTTGCTATGCTCGTTCACCTGTCTTGATTTGAATTGTTTTAGTGTTTGTTTGATTGTATAAAATAAATAGTCATTTGGTCTAGAAAATTGTGACAAGATTTAAAGATTTAAATTAAGAATGACACCCGATTTTGTAACGGTAATTTTTGAAAATCGAATGGATTGTCATTTTATATACGACCGCCATGTCGAAAGGGTTATTCTGTTACAACTTGTCCCACTTTCAGAGATAGGTATGATAAAGAAACGTTATTATTAGTTCATAAGTATGTTTAAACTCTTCAATCAATTAAATCTTTAATATCTATTGGGGTTCATTCACTAACAAACATAACCCTTCGATAAAACAAAATTTGATAAAACCGTGTCGTCTACTGAACAGATAATGACAATAACGAAATGATGAATGACAATGTCAGTGATTCATAGTCGCGTCGCGCGACGGCGCGGGAGCAGCGTAGACGCGCTGTCTGCGCCCGCACATACATATAACTCTCACGTTTTCTAGTACTGACTAACGACCGCCCATAAAAAACGCTTTGCCGAAAATTAACGTCAAATTTTATCTAAATATTGTCAGTTGTTGACATTTTTATTTATTTTTTGTTTTTGTTGTACAAGTCTTATTATAGTGTGTTAAGTTTTATTTATAATAATGCTGATGGAAACACAATTGAATTTTAAATTATCATTTTTATCATTATTGTGTTTAGTTGTGACGCTAAAATATTTTGTCTTTACTTATTTGATTTAAAATATTCTCAGCACAAGACAGTACACAATGAACTGGATGAGGATAAAGCTTGGAACAAACGAACTTTCTTCCAAACATCTTATACAAATAATACCGATACAAAGCCAAGACGTACCAACTTAAGGAATGGGCTGCCATAAAACTGATGCTCAAATTTCAAATTCAAATTAGCCGCCGCAAGGTCCATTTGTCGCATTTGACCGCGAACGCTTCGTGCGCGGACAATACGGACGAGCCGTCGTTAAATCTCCGGTTTCCGTAGAAACTCGCGACAGATTTAAAATAAGACCAAGCACAGACATAGAACACGGTGGAGCGGTTAGCTGTCACTACAACATTTGCCTCGAGAGAGCTTTCTGAATGTGTCCAACACTTTAACTTGATGTTCCGTTAGCTTGCCACATAAACTGATTGGTGGAAATCGTTTTATGTCGAAGGGAAGTGATTGTTTCATAGTAATCGCTGGTATAACTGTTAAAATCTTCTTTGCTACTTTTACTTTACAGCTTTATGTTATTTTCATTTTAAAACTTATGTAGAGACAAGACTACAAGTATATCTCATGCGATTTTTAGTCCGATGGACCCCACGGCATGCCAATTTCACGTGTTAGCCACGGACACTGACAATAAGCGCGGTTTACGTTGCACTCTGTCACGACAGTTCACGGTCTGGCTTGTGTTGACTCATAAAACACTCTTAACCCGTCAAAAGACGAACGATAAACTAATAAGTAAAATTATTTCTTTATCGTCCGTGTTAAGGTTTAAAGTTGTTTGCAAATTATTTTAAGCAGTTGTATGTGATGCTTGCTGGCCTGGTGTTGAGTTTGCTCATCTGAGATTCGGCGGCACCGTTCAGAAATTCACTTGGCGCGCGGGCCTGAATGGCCAGACGTTCGCGGAAACCTGTACTTTCTAACATTACCTAGGTGCGGTACGCTTTAATGAGCCAGTTGTAACCATAGTTGCTTATGGTAATTTTCACATAAGAAATTAACTGAAAGATGCTTTCAACTCCGAGATTATAATATGAAAGGATGTTGATGTCTCAAAGTGGGTGCGTACTCCTATTGTGTTTTATGCTATTGCAATCATTCATCGGGACATTAGAATGTTTCCTAATGTCTAAATATTCATCACACGCATGGAAATAGGTACGAGTCTAGTTCAATGGAGATCGGGTAAGTTCTAATTATAACTCTAGGTAATTTGCGGTTACAAACTAATGTGGTTAATTATAATGTTAATTGACTATTATAATTTACCTATTAGCTGTATTTACACTAGTGTGATGTTGCGTTTTATTATGTAAGTAGTAAGACTCAAAATTTCTCTGAACATAATCGATGACTTTGAACAAAGGATATAAAAGTCGATGGTTTTAAGCAAATCAAACAAGTCAGTATTTCGATTCTTTTTCGCATTGGTGTGATGTAAACAATGTTATTAACAATGCAAGGTGTGTTGTGCAAGAAACAAACAATCTTTTGGTGCCGGCGGCGTCCGTCAAACGTTCACAGCCATCGAACGCGAAGCTGACATTAAAAAATTATCATAGAGAACCTTTTTTGTGTATTTTCGCACACCCTTGACAGAACCACAGATAATGCTTAAGAGTGTGATAAAAAAAGAGACGGTTAGCGATGTTTATTTGTGGTTAACAAGCGAAATAATTTGAAGAGCTTTTGGACTCCTTGGGCTTGATCTCCTTATCTGATTTCACGGTTATTAGATGTTTTTTGTGCGAAGTTTGAGAATTTATGATTTATATATTAGTTTTTTTAAAATCTTGAAAATTATATTTTTTTTTGAAATTGAGAAAAACAATAGAAATGAGATGTCACAAAAAATAAACTGCACAATGACATCCTTTTTTCTTTTTTGCTGTATTCACTTAATTTTTTTCACAATATATATAGTTTTATACAAGAGTAAATTGTAAGTATTAGATAGAAAGTGACGATGAATGAAGTTTTCGCGGTGTATAAACCTTATATTAAAGCAGATGCGATATAAAAAATAGTTTCAAGTTAATACATTGACTAGTAAGTTTAGTTTTAGATTTAAGTTGCTTTTATTCTTAATGGATTTATTTTCACGTTTATTACCCGCAGGTTACATTTTATTTTATTCAAAAACGAAGTAATAAGTTATTATAATCTTAAATTCGCACAATACTTTGTACACTTTCTCAGATTGATAAAAATCTAAAACAAAATATTAGGTAGACCAGATTATCTTCCAGATACGAACATTGCGCCAATGTATTATCTTAATGGGTAATTACTTAATTATATTATTTTGTATCATTAATTTAAACTCACCAGACATCTTCATTTTGTAACTCGTATCAAAATTCAGCATTCGTATAAATATTATTTATCATTGTCCGTAATCACAATAATTAATTAAATTTTTCTAATTAAAACAATAAACTATCGCGTTTATTCTAATACACTAATAGGATTGACACATAAAATAAATGTTTGTAATGTAAACACAAGAGTCTGCACAACACTAATGTATTGACATTCGAACAAAATTAGAGATGTGAAATAATTCTAATTCACAATTAGGAATTAGATGTTGTATGTAGTGATGTACCGAACGCGTGTCGATGTACTCGCGTGCGATTTGCGTGTGATAGTGGTGGCACGGTATGTGCGGCGTCGGCGACGCACTGTGCCAGAATAACGCGAGAGGAAGCGAGACCCAGCTCATCCCTAGAATCCCGAATCACATACCCTCGCCCGGGCCAACCCCGCGCCCCCCGCCCCGCCTGTGTCTTTGTGTTACACCCTTCTCTCTCACACAAGCGATTCGGGGTCGCAATACAAGGTTACCGCCTGAAAATAATCGGCGAGCTTTTTCAATGGACAACGCTTTATATTTTGGAAAATAGTTCGGCTCGACTTTTTCAGGAGCTTTACGTTTTGTTGCTTGTTTTTACATAATACTGAAAAGGCTATGAAAGATTAATTTTTTGTATCAATTCTTCTTATTTCTAAGATCTTCATGTGTTTTAACTGAAACTTTTTCTACTTAGTAACATACAGTTCAAGTTACAGACGAAGTTGTTACTTAGAATAACATGTCAGGCTCCTTTAATTAAATTATCGTCTTCCTGAAAGGTCGTAATTCTTTATAAAATTCATAACAAGACTATAATAACAACGCTATTACAATATTTTACATCGGGAGCGACCTACAAACAATGGCCCTTCAGTTATCGACGGTGCTTTATAACAAATCACTTGTACAACACGACCAGATAACTTAGAGCTCTGATATTTGAATTGAATCCTTCTCGGTGTGCAGTGAATGCTTGGTACCGGGGGGAGGAGTAGGTCGATCCACGCTGGTCACTGATACGAGACAAGGCGCCGATTAAGAAAACAAACTTGATTGAATGCGAGCCAGCAGTCTTGGACTCTTATCGTATCGTGTTCGATCGTTCTATAATGCTACTGTGCTGATTTTTGCCAATACAAATCATCAGCTCATTTAAAATGTTTCAAACCATTGTCTTAATATAATGAACTGTAGTATTCAAAAATACATACCTTCCTTCTGAGTATAAACCAATACACAGGTTTATATTAGCTATCTAAGCATTTTACAAATACGAAGACCTCTTTAATACAACAAATAAAATTACCAACTCAATTGCTATAAAAAAACTCATATCATAACCGTATAAAATAAAACGCAAGACGTCCATTCTCTTACGCGAATAGCATTTCAGTGCACAGTTGCGTTTTATTCAGCGTATCTGAAAATAGCTATCGCGAGAATGTGCCAAGCGAGACGGCAGATAACTAGATAACGCTCAAGATCTGTGGCGGGCGGTGCGATTGGTCGCGTCGGGCGGTGGGCGGGGCGGCGTCGGTGATGCACCAATGGGATGCGCCTTATTATCTGCGTCTTTGTCTGTCAACGGATTCTGTAGTGATGTAGCAGGTGCTCGGAGTATCGAGAAGGTTGTATATACCTATCGAGACTAAAGTACTTGTGTACGGATACCATTATGGCCGCTCGCTTGCTTTGTCCTTAATGTCCCAGATAAAAGCATTTTATTGATAAAATTTTGTTGGATATAGAACAGGAAGGTTTACATCTATTTCCCATGATGTGGGCTAGTTTTATGTGGAATCCCCATAGCTATCGTAGTTAAAATGTTGCCTTGAGAATTTTAATGAAGTTAGGTATTTACCTGCTAAGTGTGTCCCTATTTACTCCATTATGCAAATCAATGTAATAAATGTTATGAAAGGATATTAGGTAAAAATAAAAGGTTAAAATAATATCTAATAATGATGATTCCAAATCTTAAATTTTTGAAATCCTATCTATAACTAAGAAACCAGAAAGTATCTAAGTTTATTTTCTGTGTTTCTCAGACACCCATGAGAATTTTTACCCCTCCTCCAATCTGCCTACCTCTTCAAACCTGTAGAAATATGAAATTTACAAAGTCTATAAGACTACAGCATCTTTGTATTTCTAAATAATAATATCTAGAAATAATGTTCTTTCAATACAAGTGAATTAGATAATCTACTACGCAGGTGCCTATATGAATTTAATTTAAATTTCTATTACGTCTCCTGCGAATGACAAACTTAACACGCAAACGTGAAGGTGACAACTAGAATTGATTTGTGACAGACACGATGGCCGATAATCGATTTCCAGTTTCTACCGATGCTGTAATCGATTCCGCGGTCCCTGTTTAATCGATTGTGTGTCAAGTTTTTATGGAAATTGGCGAATTGTAAAATGTTCAAGTGTTAAATATGAAAATTGTGTTTTAGTTGCACTTGTGATACATATTTGGGTACCTACGTAATTAGTATATGTATGACTTTGTCAACAATCCAATTATCGAAAGTTTTTTATTAAAAATGAACAAATACTTTTCAGTAAAAAATGGCTGCTCCTTCGGATGTAACATTCAAAGCCGACCAAGCACAAAATAATTAAATATCCATATTCAGACCTAAAAATTATTAAAATTGTAAGTGTAAATATGTTCAACAACTCGACCTAATGATTTTTTATGGAATAATGAAGTACCTAAGCATTCTGTGCCGTCCATGGACACCCAAAACACCAGAGGCGTTACAAATGCGTTACCGGCCTTTTAGAGATTAGGACTTTGAGAATTATAGGAAATTCAGGGATTAGGGAGATTGGGGTGTAATTGCACCTCCAATAACCTCACGATACGACAAAACACAACGCAAGCGTTATTTCACGTCGGTTATCTGTGAGGCCGTGGTATCACTCCGGTCGAGCCGGCCCATTCGTGCCGAAACATGGTTATACCACATTTACTAATAAGGTTAATTTATTTATTATGTTATGGTACACTGATTAACCGTTTACCTCTTCACTGTCCCTCTCTGTCAACCAATCATAGCATAAACGTAAATAGGGAATAATAGATATATGTACGTAATTGGATGACCAATTTCCGTTTAAAAAGGATAATGTCCAACTTATTCATAATTTGATACATACAAACAGTACGTACATATGTATTAAAAACTACCAAAATACAGCTATAAATAAAAAATATGGCTAGTTTTCCTATGTCCTGAAATACAACGTATATCATATTTATCCTGCCTCGCACATGTATATGAAAATTTAGTCCGTACGAGAATTTATATGATGTAATGTGCGCCGTTATGAGTTTTACAGGGAAACAAATAATTTAACCGCAAGTGATTATATTCTTTATCTGCCTACTTTTGTGTTGGAAAATGTCTTATGAAAACTTCTTTTATATTATTAACATTAAAATATGTTGTATTGTAAAGAAAGGAAATTTGAAAATTGGTTCATAGATAGATAAAAAGCACTACACATAATCCTAGATAATTCAGTGCGAATTATGAGACAAAATTCACAGCGTTTCAAAGCCTGATGTTTGATAGACGTGTTGACTCAAGAAATTTTTTGATTACAAAAGCTAAACGAAACAAAGGGAGCCTTTGCTAGAATAGAAACAAAGTAATTCTTATGAGATTAAAAAACACTTTAACCAATTCAACTAGCCAAAGCAATGCATTAAAAACAACTCTACACACAAACAAACTACCACTACCATCTAACCTAAAATGATATTAATCAAATCTTCAAAGTTGATACAGTTCCACGTATATTTACTGAGCGAGAAGTTGGGAACTATAGTGAGGCTGTCAAAACCAACCCGTCCGTGGTCCGAGCCAATAGGATCCGAGTTGAATTCCCAATGACTTGGCTACGTGACACGCAGCCTTCTACACACCTCTACACATTAAAGTGTACATAACCAGCATAAACCTGACCTTCGAATGTGCAGGAAGATCATACAAAGCAAGACCACGATAAACTGGATTTGAATAGATCGACGTGTACCAGGGTCATTTCTGTGGCGACAACTTTACTTGGACCTCTCTACCACCCACCCTTTGTTGTTGCGTGACAACCCTACAGGAATACTTGAGCGATAACGCTTAAATAAGGATTTCCAATGGTGATGTTTAGCTTTGGACAAGTTGCTACCATTTTATAAGGCTTGCAATCTCATGAAATCTTACTTCTAATACAAATATGTCTAATATAAAGCATGTGCCCAAAGAGATGTATAAAACACTTGTCTTCTAATTCTTGAGTACCAACCTACTAACATTAACTTCTAAAACTGATACATTTGCAATACCAACCTTTCAAAAATACAAAGAAATTTAGTTGAAAACCTAATCTTACATACTGTACACCTTATAAATTGTCCACTGCATCTACTTTCAGATACCATTCCCCATCACTAAAACCATCTTCAACCAACTCAAAAGTAGATCATAAACGTGGCAATGAGATTTAAACCCAAGATACATATCAAGTTAAACCCATCACAGTAACTCCGGGTTGGAGTATGGCCATGCATTGTGATCGCTGCTATCGGCTTGATAAACTACCGTCGGCACTGTCCAACTACTTTCAAAGGATAAACGATGGAGTTTAAAATGTCCCTCAATGGACCGAGCACAATAGATCGGTTCCCAGCACCGTAATCTTAGTAGAATAGAATGAGAATTGCAAGCTGGAATTCTAGTTCAGTTTGTTTTGGAGATAGATTGTGAGTGTGTAAAGTTGTTGCCTCACAAATCGCTCCAGTTACTTGGCGAGTTAATTGGCTGATTGATCGAAATGTTTATTGTAAATTGAGTTATTAATTTTCAATTCAGAACCAGATGGTTAAAAAACTATGTATCTAAATTTAAATCAATTACAAACACTTAACACGTTAACACAAATAATTCCCGTGTAGATGAAAACAGTTTGATTCTACTAAATCTATTTAATCAGCGTTACCAAAACGCACCGCCCTCTGTTACCCCAATACAAGCCATTTTACTAACACGAACACCCAAACGTTGAACGACCACCAAAAGAATCACCTTTAAAATGTCCAATTTAAATTGTTCCGACAAAGGGGCGAGCCATTTCAATTTTGAGTGAGGAGAGTTCTAAATCGAATAGTGCGATAGCCACTCCGTAAGCGCCTCCTGGGGCGAGTCTGTACAATTTATGGACGTAATAAAATGGCATTAGAAAGTATAGCTGCTACTCTAGGATAGAGATTACCTCACGATCAACGTAAGCACCCATTACGGATAAGTGGTAAATATAAAAAAAATCGAATT